AATAATTAGTCGAGTCGGGCAACTCTACTGGACTTCGTCAAAAGGTGCTTATTGACGATGAAGGTCTTCCATGGAACTTCCCTTAGCTTACTAGTCCTCATCTTATTGTGCTTATCACGATGATAACTTGTGCACGTTTGATCCCGAACACACGTATTTATGCGAGAGATACTCCTCTAGGAGGACAAAAAGTCCTCGCCCCCCTGGTTACACTGAACTTAGAACAACACACGACACTGTACGCTGAGCGATCGATTTACGATTCTGTAGCACCTTGAGTAGGTCGATTCCCATACAGAAATGAGACATGATTGATTAGGTTGTCGATTGATCGTGTGTAGACCTAGATGGTGAGGCACGCTGAGGGGAGGTGTTAGATACATCATTCATTGAGATGCTGCTAATGCAAACCCGATCACCGTTCTACGACTGGTAAGCGGCTAGCGAACTGCGTTCACTAGCTGTTTGTGCTACCTTTGCTTGTGCCGCTGTATCCAGAAAGTCGTTAGAGAGGATTCCTTTATGTTTTACTGATGGTTATCGTGATGGTTAACAGTTTCTTCTTCGTCCCTTTCAATCATGTGTGTGTCATGTTCTTTGAAGAACCTCGGCTGTAGACGATAGACTGACGGCAATTCTGTACGTCACATTTCTGATCATTACGACTGTCCCTGTTTCGCTCTTACTGATCGTCATTTGGCGCTGCATAGTGTTGGCGTAGTTACCGATTCGGCTGAGCTTTTGCGGTTGAGTTCAGTTGACGGCTTCTCATTGGACGGCGTTCGTGGTTGCAGTTGGGTTAGCTTCTATTTGACCCTCAAGATGCAACAGACTGCAAGTGTTTTCTCGAACCCCGCCTACTGCAACAAAACAGATGTGGTTCCTCAGAAGGCTCAACTGGCCGTGAAACTCCACTTCGAGAAGGAGGTCTTCAGGACTCGTATGGAAGCTACCAAGGAGGAGTCTCGAGTTGATGACATCCGTCGTCTGGCCAGGACAGCGTGGCCTGAGCTGGTCCACAGAGACTTCAATGTATTCTATGTTGATGATGACGGAGATAATTGTCCACTCATTGAAGAGTCGTGGGCTGACTTGGTGTCGCTTGTGAGTGAGCGTCCACCACCGAGATTGTGAAGAGAGCCGACTATCGCATGGACTTTATCTCAAGTCCGCTGTGAGCGTCTCCCAAAGGGTTGATGCAGTTCCCGTGGTCACTATTGATGCACC